AGAATATACAGTTGAATCATAGTTAAAACTATTTAAAAAATGGAACAACAAATCTAAGGGCAACCCTTGAGAGAAGAAAAAAAAATCAAACAAATTTCGCAAATTAATTGCCATTTTCTTTGACACGAAGAATATTTGTTCAAAAAATAACAAATCGATTTTTGTACGTAAGAATTTATCTCAAACTTGTTCTTCTTTTTTTTTATAAACAAAGAAGCATAGTTTTTTCTAACCAAGAGAAAAACGAATCGGAAATTCCCGCCCCCTCACAGCTCTTAAGATGAAGAGAAGAAAAAAAAACAAAGAGTGAACGAAAGAGAAAGCGACACACACTAAATAGCAGTTTTTCTTATTTTTTTTTTTCAATTTATCAAAGTCTGAAGAAACTAAATAATTAGGAAGAAATAAACAAAAAAAAATTGATGGAAAAAACCAAACATAGAATGAACGAACGAACGAGAGAGAAAGAGAGTATCGGCCAAGAGTCACACTACTGTTGGAAGCTATTCTTATTTGAAAAGCCAAACTCGAAAATTTAACAAAAATAAAAACTGATTCAAATGATATACGATTTAATGAGAATTAATATAATATAAAAACTCACATTTGCTTGTTACTTTTCATGTTGAGAATGAGCACGTATCAGGAAATTTCGTACTTGCATTTTTTTTTTGTAAAAAAAAATTTCAACAAAATCAACGAGCTGCCGATCGATTCGGGTTTTTTTTTGGGCCCCATTGTCGCTCCAAAAATCTTAGTTTCTGAACGGCATCGCAAAGGGGTACACAAAACGAATCATTGGCTTCATCATAACCTCAGAAATTTTTTCGGAAACAACAAACAGAGTAACATTTGTTCAGATCAATTTCAAACACATAAACACTGCATCAAATAGTAACTCCTATTAATATATTTAATGAAAAAAAAATGAAAATGTTATTAAGATAAACACTAAACGTTCATGACACGCGAATAGCTCGAGAAAAGAAAAAAATCCGTTTCGTTGGCAAACATCTGCGATAAAACACAATTTAAACGTAGATTTTTGTCTGAGAAAATGAAATTCAAACAAACACTTTCAAACGAAACACATTTTTTTGTTGAGCTGTCCATGTCATTCTATATATTAAATTTTAATTAAAAAAATTGTATTAACTTCTACGAGACAACAACAACAAAATTATTGAAAAAATAAAACCAAGAGCAAAAGGATAAAAGCAGTAAACGCGATCCTGGAAATAATTGCTTTTACGAATACAGTGACAAAACAGCTGGACAATTGAAAAATGAATAAAAATGACTGTGTTTTGCTTTAAAAAAAATGGCAAACGTTTTATTTTGGACTTCTTCCCTTTAGAATCGTTGAATTGGAGCTGGTTTTGAAGCAAGTTTTCTTGGGCGACATTTTTGAGGTAACTTTCTGGAGACGTTTTTCTTTACCTTTTGAAAATCAAATTTCATTTTCGATTTATCTATGAAAAAAGGACGTTCTAAGTTCGAACGCAGAGAGTTCAAAACAGATGACAAGTGGCCTTGATGTCAGTATTCCGTAAGTATTGAAACACTTGATCGTGAATGGTGGGTTGGGCCAGTTGAACGGCTATACATATCAAAGTCCGATTCCAAATCGGTGGACAATATTTTCAATCATGTACGATTGTATAAAAATATGGAAAAAAAATCGTAGAGCATGATCGTATATTTGCATTTTTTAATGCTGATTCAAAGTGCTCAGACTTTGATTGAAGTCCAAAGTCAAAATTTTTGTTAGTGGATATTTTTGAAATGTTTCGTTGGCATGAAAATTGTTGGGTCCAATAATGATGTTTTGCATCAAGACATCCGAAGGTTTCATTATTTTTTTGAGATTTTCCCGTTAAAGTCTGGACTTTAAAAATTTTTGTGATGTAAAACCTCTATTTATGCCCAAATATGTTCGCATTGAAATTTCTCGAAAAATGCCAGGAAAAATGAAAAATAAAAATCGTGAAAAATTTTAAAAATCGAAAAAAATCCAAAAAATAGGTTAATTCCTGACGGCTTTTTTGGGTCAGATCATCATTAATTGTCCTAATTCATTCCATTCTATCAATAAAGCCGCTCAAAAACGCGAAGAAAAAAAAAAAAATTTAAGTCCAGACTTTAACGGAAAATCTCAAAAAAATCCTAAAAAATAATGAAACCTTCGGATGTTTTGATGCAAAACATCATTATTGGGCCCAACAATTTTCATGCCAACGAAACATTTCAAAAATATCCACTAACAAAAATTTTGACTTTGGACTTTAATTAAAGTCTGAGCACTTTGAATCAGCATTATTGACCGTAAATAGTTCATAATAGCTTTTATCCACACGATATTCTTTACTTTGGGAGTTCTCACTTTGAAGCTCTCCTGTGATGCACAAATCTGATTTTTTTTCATTGTGAAGGACATAAAAACGTTCAAAACCATTAGTTGGAGGCAAGATTTTTTTGGTGCCTTCAGAATTTTAAATTTTAAAATATTATCTGAAACAGAAAAAATGGAGCCGCATACGGAATATATGATTCCATGTGTTGTTGTGTCGTGTTCGGGTGACAGACGTTTAATGATCTTGGGATTCAAACGTCCCAAGACGTTTCCTCTGTTTTTTTCGTGCGTTTGACGTTTGAAAAGCTTTCAAGTTCATTAACTTTTAAGTTTTTCAAACTATGGACTCGCACGTCGTTAATATGTATAACATATGCTCCTCTGTTATCGGCAAGCGATTGAAGATTATTAAACTATGGGGTCACTTAAGCGGCTCCCAATATTAAATCTGACCATGGCGAACTCGTGTAGGGTGTATACTCTAAATTCGCCTTCGAATGTTAAAAAAATTCATCCCCAACACTTTCGATGCATTTTTAACCCTTTAAAACTCAACTGGGCAAATAGGTTATATCCTACAAAAGTTGAGCCTGGTCCCATAGATTTCATTGGTACATAGTGTTGACCTCCCATGTTGACCCAGTTTGAAGGGCAGAGGTCAAATGTGGAAAAAGTACAAAAACCACCCCAAACTGGGTAAACTTCACTCCTCAACCCCAAAAAAATTGCATTTTTGGATTCCTCGTCGAAAATGAGCTATACCTCAGGAACATTAGTTTTTAATAAAACCTCTCACTTTGGCTCAAATCATCTCTGAATGTACAGTGTGAAAAATTGATATTTTTCTATACATTTATACGGATTTTTTTGCGTTTTTTCGGTTTCTCTTTCATTTAGGAGATAATGGCCTTGATAGCTCTTATCAATTATACTGTTATATCCTTACTGATAATAGATAAGTGATGACTATCTGCGGCAAAATTGTAGATTTTGACGAGATCTAAAACTTTGCTGAACAAAGTTGTACTCCATCGCATATGGGGTACGAGTTATGGAAGAAAAACCGAAGCAACGCAAAAAAATCCGTTTAAATGTATAGAAAAATATCAATTTTTCACACTGCACATTCAGAGATGATTTGAGCCAAAGTGAGAGGTTTTATTAAAAACTAATGTTCGGGAGGTATAGCTAATTTTCGACGAGGAATCCAAAAATGCAATCGATTTGGGGTTGTGGATTGAGGTTTACCCAGTTTGGGGTGGTTTTTGTACTTTTTCCACATTTGACCTCTGCACTTCAAACCGGGTCAACATGGGAGGCAAACACTATGTGCCAATGAAATCTATAAGACAAGGCGCAACTTTCATGGGACACCATGACGAACTCGTGTTGGGTGTATACTCTAAATTCGCCTTCGAATGTTAAAAATTGCAACTTTACCGTCAACAAAGATGAATTTTTACTTAAAAAATCTATGAGTGTCCCAATGAACACATGTAATGCTAAATGTTTGAAATTTGTGCATATCTTAATGTAATGCTAAATGTAGCACTAAAAGTGCAAAAATTGTGCAATTTTTGGACCTATTTAGATAAAATTTTGTTTCTGGGCACAATATGTGTAAGAATTGTGCACGATTTGGGAATAAATCTACTATGCACAATAATTGCACGTGTTTGGCTCATTGGGGTGATAGGTATGATATAGGCGGTGCTTGTGCACTTATCTGCTGTGGGTACATGATTTTGTACCCAAGAACGGATATCCGTTTTCCGTTTCCGGAATCACAATGTGTGTGGATTGCATTAAATAGTAATGCGCCATCTATGTCATGATGCTTTTGTTCGTATAAGTCCATATGCATTCAATTTGAATGCTCAAAAAACGTTCAAAACCATTAGTTGGAGACAAGATTTTATTTGGTGCCTTCAGAATTTCAAATTTTGAAATACTATCTGAAACAGAAAAAAAATGGAGCCGCCTACGGACTATATGATTCCATGTGTTGTTCCTTAATTCCTTAGTCTTATTCTATGTGTACTTTGTTTAAATCGTCAACAAAACGCATGGAGTATTTCTCTGTTTTGCTTTATAAGGTGATTATAATACAAAAGTTCGTTATAATTCTGAAACCTTATATTGTGCGGATAAAGATTTTTATCCGTAACTGCGATCCTTATAATCGAACACTTTCACCGATACGGATAATTATTTGCATCGGCATTTGTGAGTCATGAAAAAAAAGAGTATGAGTTAAGCGTAGCACGAGCAATCTGTAATCCTTCAATGTAAAACCAATACAAGTGGAGGGGCACGCGGGGCTTACTTGTACTTTCACAAATAAACAAAATTATTTGTCCCCGAACGGTTAATTATTTCTAATCTGTAGAAGTGATGTCAGTGACCCTTTTTTTAGTCACTCTAAACTATCTTCACCTTACGTTAGAAAGATAATGAAATTCGAACCCCAGATTATTGCGAGAGAATACAATTGGCGGAATCTCGTTAAAAAAAATTGATGAGTTTTGCGCAGCCATGTGTGTCTCGAAGAGATAAATTCCCTATTCACATAATATTGCAATCCACCCTATTAATGGTCACTGAAGAATAAACTCCGTTTTCTTTCTCAAATAAAACACACGTTTCGTTCCATCGAAATATACATTTAATAAGTTTCTACAAAAAAAGCAAAGACTTTGCACAATTGTTGCTGCTCTTGTTTTCGGTATGTTTCAAAAAAATAGAATATGAATAAAAAAATATATATCGAATAGATTTCATAGTTTGTCAGTTCTTGATTCTGGATCTTTAACCGCACCATTTAGTCTGCTTCTTGCGAATAGCGTTAAACATTCGTAAAATTAATTCATTTTCTTTTAGTTTTCAAGTTAACAATATCATTTACAATTAAATAGTTGTTCCATCTTTGCTGTTGTTTTACGACATGTAAAACCTGAGGCTTTCAGTCGATGCACCACTCGTTTGATTAATTCATAGCTTTCTATCGTATATATATAGTTTTTTTTGGCTTAAGATGTAATGTTCCATGTATTTTTTTAAAGGAAGATTCTTAAATATCCGCATAATGTTTAAAATGTAAAATTCAAAATATTCTTCTTCTTTTTGTTTTTGTCACCAAATAACATATTTACAAATCTATAGAGTGTTTGTTTTGTTTTTTTTTAGTTTATCACGGTCTAAGTGTACATGAGCTTCCATTTGATTTTGTGGAGAAGAAGATGTTTTTAATTATTCACATAAATTTATCTATCTTATGGTCTAATTGAGAATCATTATGCTTCGATGCAATTTGGGCATCGCAGCATTGTTTTAGGTAAGGATGTTTTTGGCTGCTTCGATTTGGTATTCAAATGTTGTAAATCCATCGGTCGTGTTATTCATGAAAATTCGATTTTTCTCGCCGCTTAAATCCATTCAATTTGCAGTCATAATTGTTAAACATTTAAAGGAGATAAAAAGTTGTTATGGTTAAAATTGGAATTGTTTTTTTTCTAGTTAAAAAAAAAATGGTCTGACTTCAAACTGAATGAATTTGGTGTGCAAAAAAATCGAATTTTTAACGAAGAAAACAAATGATTCAGCTTTGATAGAATCAGTGTGTTAAATGAATGCCAAGGTGAGCGGGCTGTTGGTGAATTGAATGTGTGAGGAAGTTGACGGTGACGAGTATCACCGATGTGCAACTCCAGACGAATACGAAAATGAGCCAAACAACACTTTGGAATGGACTTCTAAAATCGTTGATAATTCCCTGCCCCAAGATTTGGCGACATGTTTTTCGTGCTTGCCACACCAGCGCAACGGGTATGATATATTGAATGCCTGTGCCCGCATAACTGCCCGTAAAACTGACCAAACTCGCCAGGCTATCGGTGAAATAGGTGATGACAATTGGTGGAAGTATGGCCAACAGCGGAAATGTACAACGACACAATAAAAATTGGCAAAAACTTGCATAGGCCGCATCTGGATTGGTGTTACTTTGTGTTGTTGTTGTTCCCATGAACAATGCTTCGAGATTATTCCGCAGTGTGATGGCAATGATTGGAAAACTGGCCGACAACGTGAAGACGGGGAATAGTGCCAAAAAGTATTCGATAAACACGAGGAACATATCGGATTGTTTGGCCGTTGGTATGAAGTTCAGTGTGTACAAATCTTCAAGATGTGCAAATGCAAATGAGCCAGTCACTGCAAGGAATAGATAAAATCCGGCGATGAGCATATAATCGGCTGAAAGCATTTTATGCAAACCGCCTTTATCACGAATCGGTGCCACTAAACTGGGCAACGAATGATGACACATGAATGAATAGACGCAAGTGCCAAACAGTGATGGCATTCCATATGGATTGGCAATTGGTGGATAACCTTGTTGACCATTCACCATAAGCCGTCGCACTGCAATGCTGATCATTATTGAAAAGGCCATCCAACGCAATAGGATCGTACACATTTGAATATACTTGGTTTTTTGTACATTGAAAAAAGTGAACGGACCCAATAGTGTAATGAAACCGATCAACGACATTCGATAGCAATCGAGGCGAGTAAAATTTGCCCACTGACTCAATGGATCCACATTCGTCCAGCACGGTTGTGCGTCCAACTCATCATCTGTTGCATTGGCAAAGGCACTGTTTCGTGTACTGTAGAAGAAGAAGAAGAGAGGAGGAATTGTGTCATATGCCTGCTTTAATACATAAAATCCAATTGGAATCGAAACCATTATATCACACTCACCAAATGACATCTCGTAGTGTTTTCGCAACAGCAGCTGAGTAAATACTTAAATCACCGTACAAGTAGATGGCAAAACACAGGAAAAATAGCACACGACCCTTATCATTGAAAAAAATGCGTGCCATATCGACCAGTTCGATTTTCGTTTCGATTTCATAGTATCGTGTTCGTTGCGAAAACAACGGCATATGCTCAATGGTACTGTTGACATTGTCATTTTGAATCAGACGATTCGGCTCTAAATCATTTACTATCGCCGAATCATTATCCTCTTCGGTATTTGAATCCGGATCCTGTGGCACGTACTGGAGGACATGGGAAAAGAGAGAGAATTAGTTTTAAAGAGACTGGATATGAATTTCTGAGTCAGTTTTTTTGACTCAATGGCATTGAGTTTAGTTAGAGTTTGAATCTAATAAAAACCAAAACTTTTTTCACATCTGAAATTATTATTCATCAGAATTTAAATACTGACACAATTGTATCTGTTTTTTTTTCGGAATAAACACTTGTTTTCTACTCAAGACTCTAGTTGTACCAATAAAAAAAAGTTCTTAAATAAAAATGTGCTACTTTTGAGTTTGTTTTGTCTCTATTTTCTCTTACTGCATTATTTCTACTTACACCTTCGCGTTCTCGTTCTCGCTTAAGCTGTTCCAATCGACCCCAATAGTAGATGGCATTTGCACAAGCCATTGTTTCAATCACAAATGTGACCGTCATATAGCTGATAAATGCCAATATTGTAATGAGAACCAAGCCCAGCAGCCATCCCGTTTTGGCGAAGGCCGAAGGTAACGTAAGTGCACCCGTTCCAACGATTAAATTGAATAAAAACATCAAACCAATCTGGTTGGAATAGAATTGAAATCCCAAAGAAAAATGAATTATTTTTGTCATAATTGAAACATATCGTAAAAAGGCGGAATAATCCAACGAAATGATAAAATGAAATGTTGAAACCAAAAAAAAAAAAATTATGACTTACCCATGATGAATATCCATCATCACTGGATCCGGATCGATTCTCTCTTAAGCTCGGCATCTCTGTGCCACTTACAATTGCCTCACATTAACTGAAACCACGACACTTTTGTTCGCATTGACGTTTCAAATCGCTGGACTGTTGTAATATTTATTCAATCGGTTCCCGTTCGAAAAAACGCAGCAATCGTTGCTAAGTACAGCGAAATTTTAACATATGTACGACGGAAAAAAATTGCTGATCTACTTTGGATAATTTCTACTGAACGCGATGACGACAACACAACTCAAGAGCAAAAAACCAAAATACAAACAATAATTTTTTATGTAGGAACACAAAGTGAAAACGAAGGAAATAAAAAAAAAACAGAGGAAATCCTCTCGTTTTGGCTATTTTATGTTTACAATTGGGTTTGTCATATGCGTTTTAGTGATTTGTAAACCGATTTTCGATCCGGAACACACAAAGCGTCGTCGCTGTTTTATTTTAATCTGCTCTGATAATTTCACAAACGCTTTAATACACTAACAATCATTATAATAAACTTCTTTGTATCTCTTTTTTTGTTGTTTCGTTCTTTGATGTCGTCATTTGTGTCTTTCAGCTTCGTCTCTCTTTTCTGTGTATTTTTTTTTAACTTCTGTCTGTTGTGTTGTGTATTTTGCACAGTGGAAGAGAGAGAGAGAGAGAGAGAGAGAGAGAGAGAGAGAGAGAGAGAGAGAGCGAGAGATTGTTTCAGCACTCAGTTGTCATTGTTTCGACTGTGTTTGTTTGACAGATCCAATACGTATACGTCTCGGTGAACTCATGCGAAAGAATACAATGAAAATGCTGGTACGGCTGGGGTGCGTTCGCAATGTATGAATATGGTTCTTTAACCGCCAAAAGAATCGAATTTCAAATTATATTCATTAGAATTGGCTACAAGCGTTAAGAAGTTAAATTTCAAATAGGTTTTCCATCGCGTTGAAAATACGCTAGATTTTCATAGGTCAATTGTTGTTTCTATGACGTGATTTTGAATGTTTCTATTATGTAATTTGATTGTGATTTAAATTTTAAATGCAAATAAACTGTTTCCATGCATTATCACTAGTTTGACACACGTTTTTCTTTTGGGCTTTTAACGAGGAAAAAATCAGCTGATAACATCAAATTGAACGAAATTCCCATGGAATCCCTTCTTTCAAAACCAAAACAAAAATGCACTCGCTCACACAAAAGAACGAAGAACAAGAAGAAAAAATAGCAATAAAAATGGAGAATATCCTGCGTCGTGTTTAAATGACAACGAATCGACTAATTCTGATTAATCGGTTCGAATATTTTTTTTTAAAAGGCATGCTATCCATTTGCTGTGTTGCTGCAAGTGGCAAAAGATCAGCTTACATTTCAAAGTCAAAGATTGATAACAACAATGGCTATGAAAGTGACTCTTCGTCTCTCTCACTCTCACTCTTGTTCAGCCGCTCTGATTATAACCTATTTTGAGATGAGTGAAGTGATGCCATTTAATCAATCCAGAGAGAGAGAGAACATGGAATGAAAATGGAACATTCTCAGCTAATCGGCACTTGTAACGGCCGCTTTGCTCCATGTATACGCCAATGTGTGATATCATCACAGAAAAAACATGAACTAAACTAGTTTAAAAAGACTTCGACCACAGAAACAATATCATCGGGTTCCATTAACAAAGTCGAATGGTTTATTCGAGATATTATGTGTCTATGACAAGATGAATCATCATCCACATCGCCAATGCCTTTGTCATCCAATCAAGTCTGATATTGACTGGTATGCTTTTGGTTCGGCAATAGGAAAAATGGATAAAAAAAATTAGTGCGCACGAAATACCGAATATAAAACCGAGATAGAGCAAAGAAAAATAAAACCCACAAAACAAACAACACACAAAATACGGACCGAAGGAACGGAGAAACCAGAAAAAAAACAAAACGACGAAAAATTCATTATGCATTGCCCATCGCACAAGTGCTATCAGAGTCGTTAACCAAATCTAGCCAAAGCGATTTTTATTACATTGAAATGAAATTGGTCGAACGGTCGAACGGTCGGTCGGTTGGTCCCGCTTCGGGCTATTGCACTGTGTGTTATGCGCGTTGTTATTAATGCGTCAATAAACTTAACGCATATCAAACTCAAACTGCATTATAGACATTTCATTTTGTCGTAAATATTCCATTATCATACGGCCGCGCGATAGTCGCTCGCAACATTTAAATGACAGTGCAACGGGGACGATCTCGCAGTCACTCTCTCACTTGATGACCGAATACAAACGGACGAATCCCAACAACAACAATGTTGCGAACAGTGACGAATCGAATGAGAGAGAGACAGAGAGAAAACAAATTATGAAAAATTTTGATCGTTCGATTCGTGTGTGTTTTTTTTTTAATTCTCGTGGCCATAAGTGTTCATATCAGGCATGGAAAATTTAATTTAAGCAAATTTAATAAAAAAAATAAGGTTTGGGGAAAACGAACGACAGAAAATTAATGAATGAAAAAAAAACCGACAACAACAGAGAAGTGAATAGAACCAGAAAGATATGTCATATCGATGGTCGGGCCGCGACAGAGAGAGAGAGAGAGAGAGAGAGAATAAGAGACTTGCACCATTTCGATATGCAGTGAAATGTGTGTCCATTTGCACAGGCACAACCGTTGATATCGGGGCTTCATATACTCTTTGCGGTTTAAAAATACATGATAAATCGGACAAATATTTCCAAATCCATTAGTGGTGCCGATCGTATGTTGCTCTCTCTCTCTCGCGTTCTTTCTCTCTCAACAACGTTCTCTTGCTTTGCGCGGTGTTTCTTCATGCCTGGCTCTTTGCTTTCTTTCCTTGCTCTTCTTTTTTTTCGCTCGCTCGCTCTCTCTCTCTCTCTCTCTCTTTCTCTCTCTCTCTCTCTCTCTCTCTCTCTCTCTCTCTCTCTCTCTGTTCGCTCTGGATCCATGCGATAATCGAAAAGGAAGAATTAAAAAAAAAAATTACGAAAATTCAAGCAAGAAATGAACCTCTCTATATGTTGAAAAGAACAACGACCATTTCAAGTGTATATCGATGCACGGAATCGTTTTCCGTATGAATGCTATATGAAGTATAATGCATGCTATCGCATGCAATTAATAAGATATATTTCGAGTTTCTTCCCGACCAAAAACGAGAGATACCGGAGAAGAAAATGGCGTAGAACGAAACACCACCAACATTCATAAATTAATCGGGATACATACGACGTTAAGAGAGTTTTCAAAGTGAATTTCAAGTGGAAACCACTTCCACGGAAAATACCTATCGTCTTTCTCTCACACTCTCTGTCTGTGCTTGCTGGTGTGCAGTTCTCTCTCACAGCCCCGGTACACACAGCAGGCAAATGTGCATGCACATTCACGGTAACAGCAACGGCAACGAGAACAGCAGCATACGAGCACCACCAACCGTCAGCACAAGTACAAATGCAAGTGGCAAACGTAGAATGAAGAAGAAGAAGAAGAAATAATAAAAAAACAACAACAACAACATGCACACACACGCACACCGAATATGCCGAGTTCAACGAAAAATTGTTGATTTTTCCCTTTGTCGCTCATTTCTACCGATTTTTCTTCTTTCAATTATTCGTCATTTCGACCGATAAATACCAATTACTTGCAATACATAGCTGGAGCATTTACACAAACACGCACACAGAGAAAGAGAGGGACGCACACATACACATACAGGCATATGTGCAGCAGTGCACAAATACACCTTCGTAAAAGGCATCGTCATCTCCTCGCATTTGTCTTTTCGGACGAAAAGGCGATTTCGCTCATTCACCGCTACATTCATTTTTATGGTACATGCCATTCTTCTTTTAGGCTATAATAATTTTTGTTTTCTCTCTCTCTCTCTCTCTCTCTCTCTCTCTTTAAATATTATGTCGTTGATTCAACGGTCTTTTCAATCTAATATACAATTCACCATTGGATGCGAAACATTGAATGCGGCCAAAATAACAACGCCATCGACATCAGTTTCATTAAAATTGATGATGGATAAATCATGAGTCATTTCTTTCAGACAAAGTCTCATCTGTTTGGCGATATTCAATTCCTTTGCCATAAAAAAGAATTCAACCTAAACCGATTGCTCCTAAGCAACACACACACAATTCGCTGTGAGTTGCATATTGCACACACATACACACGCACAAAACACACACCGTACACACCGACACCATGTTCACCATATCCATTCACACACACACACACACAGAATTCATCGAGAGCATCCTCTCTGTTCAGACCAAAGAGCTGAGCAAAGCATAAACGCGTATGACCTTTGCGTGTGTGTTGGAAAATGCGGTGCCTTTGTGTGAACACACGTACACATAATTTTTGGGTCGTTCAAAACCAATTCCATTCCATCTAATAAACATGAACGTGTGTGTGCATGCATGTATGTGTGGTGAGGTGAAATGTTATAACGACAACTGGTAATGACAATAACAAATCGAAGCGAACGGCATTCGCCATATTGTATATGCTCACAGGGATTTCGCTTCTATGGGCAAACAATTTGGGGAATGGAACGACGAGAAGAAATAAAACATACGCATACGCACACACTGAGAAGTGTTCGATTTTTATTTGGCATCGTTTGATAGATGTGTGTGTGTGTGTGTGTGCGACGGTGTGGTGTGTTGTGTCGTTTGATGTATGTATATGTGCGTGCATGTTTGGAAATTGGTTTTAATGCTGCTGCTCTGTAACCATCCTCAGTTTTGATTCCGTGTTCCAAACGATTCGACTGTGTCTCTTCGTGTATTGCTTGTGTGTGCGAACAACAGCAACAACGACAACAACAACGGCGACAACGGCAACGACGACGGCGACGACAAGAAGAAACACACAAAAAATAAATACACTATATGTGTAATATCTGTTCCATACATGAACGCTAGTGTTCGCTTTCGCGCTGGCTCTTTCATCTTTTTTTACCTTCTACATTTATAAAAAAAAGAATTTGTGTTTTTTGTTACTCTTGTACGGTTCGTGTCGCATGTAAAGAGAATGTTTGGTGCTTTGTGTCGTGTTTATTTGTGGTAGAAAATCCACGGGAATAAGAGAAGAAGCAAAAAAAAAATAAAAACCTTAAATGCAATCTATATTTTTGTGTCGCGAATACCATCATTTCATTTTCTGTTTTCCGTGTACAAAACGAAATTCAGTTCTCAACGGGAAACATTGTATTAATTTCCATTTCAAAGTAAGAAATAACCACAGAGAGCAAGGATCTCTATATCTCGTTCTCAAGTGAAGTGTTTTAATTTAATTCAAAGTGAAATTTTGTTGATTCAATTGTGGAATGCTCCTTCAAATTTAATGAATATAGAAGATGCAAGAGAGTAAACAACGGCCATCGACAAAACTAATTGAATGAAATACTATTTTCGTATTACTCTCATTCGCCCCGACGAAACAATAAATTCGGAATGAACGCGCAACAACCAGCAATTTTTCTGAAAATGAATTGGTTGGTCGCATAAAAATGTGCATTGAATGTGTTTTGTTATTGAGGGCAGAAAATGTGAATATTCGCATAGTCGAAGAAAAGAAAAGTAAATACAGTGCATTTTCGAATTGAAATGAACAACAAAATTGACAATCACAGAACCGAACGAAATCAATGTTAAAGATGAAACATTCGAGTTCATATATGAACACACAGTGCAAATGAATCCAACGAATACAGTATTTTGTGTTTGTGAGTGATTTCAACGCGGTGGAACCGTAAAAAAAGAGAAGTTTCTATGAAATAAGCTTCGACTATTCTCGGTGGAGTAAATTTCAACAGGAAAAAACAACAACAAATTCTCTGAATAACCCACAAGATCTTGATTAATTCTCTCTGATTTGCGGCTCATTTCGCAACCATATATACACACAGAGTGAGACTTATTCTTCTAGACACATCAGTGAAAAGTTCCACAAGATTAATACAACTCACCGATGTGAAGAGAGTGCGTATCATATTCATATTATTACTATGCATAAAGATGAACAAGACGATAAACGAGGAAAGAATCATAAAATAATCTTCATCGCTAAGAGTGAGTGTGTCATAATTTTTATTAAGTTAATGCGTTTTGCGTTCTTTTTGTCTTTTATAGCACATTTTCTTTCTGGTTTCGTTGTTGTTTTTTGTTTTTTAAAATTATTTACCTCTCATATTTTATACATATTTGAATGTGTTTTACTTTTTTCCTTTCTTTGGATATCTCATTCAGTCGTTTATACGTACCATTGAGAAAATTTCGTTCATGTCCCAGGAAAAAGAATATGACAAAGAATGAGAGATATAAATGACGAGTGTTTAGATGATTTGGTAGCGCTGGTGATGATTGCGAGAGAGAGAGAGAGAGTGTGAGAGAGTGAATGAGCGGTGAATTAGAGCGATTGAGTTGTATACAAGGAATGAAAATTGATTTTAAGTGATAAATATTCATAAAAAAGGAGGCGAATGTGACTAGAAAAACTCGAAAGGGACGACGATGACGTCGATGACGATGGCGTACATTTTAAATGAATATATATATATATATATATATATTTATTCTTCCCTTTGCCTTCACCATCCGTCGTAACGGTGTAAGCCTTACCCAAATAAAGAGAAAATGACACTCTCTATCGCTCTAAGAGCGAGTGTGTTACTTGAGAGAAAACGACAAGCGGTAGCCCCCGATTCATAAACACACCATGTTTCACACAGCAACAGCCGCAGCAGTAGCAGCAAAAGTAGCAGCCGCAACAGCAACATCAGCAGCAGCAGCCAAACAACATACCATTGAGCAATTGACAGTGGGAAAAATCTAAATTGTAAACAAAAGGCTGCCGAAAATAGACGAGACAAACGATATACATATAACATAAGATGAACGTAAAATTACACGAAAAAAATGGCAGCAATTATATTTGAATTGAATACATGACATACGCATGGCGTAATTTTGAAAAATTTAAATTACTGCTTCTCGCTCGTTTGCCACATACATTATTGCTTCTCGTTGATTTGGGTTTTCTTTTCGACATTCACCAGTTTGAATATGTGTTATGTGTTATGTGTGTGTGTGTATGTTTCGGGGGGCTTCGGTAACTTCAAGTTACTAACTTGTCTTTTTATTTTTCAATTTTTTTTTGTCCATTTACATTTGGTTTGTGTGTGTTTTTTTCACATTTTTATTTTCTATTTTCGTTTGTTCATTTTAACTCCAAAATTTACGAGCGCTGCGAGAAAAGAAAACCAAGAGAGAGAGAGAGAGAGAGAGAGAGAGAGAGAGAGAGAGAGAGAGCGAGAGTGAGGGAGAGAAGGAGTGAGAAAAAAAAGTAACAACATTGAATGAGAGAGAGAATTGAGAGTAATTATACCGTCGACGACATTCATTAGATAGACGATCAAAAAACATGAAATTTCTTGTTGGCTCATTGAGAACCACCTAATCCAAATCAGATGGCATGCTTTGCTCGGCTATTAATTTTTAATCGGATTATCAGGAGGGGAAAAAAACCGTAATTCGTGGATGAACAAAATGAAACGAAAGTAGCAGCCGGATAAGTGGGTAAGAGTGAGCGAATGAGCGGTACAAACGTGTGCGTGCGCGCGCTAGAACGCGTGCGACAACAATTGACTCATTCGATAAATGGCAAATGCAAACGCCAAAAAACGTGCTAACCAAATTTCCATCAGCAGAGCCAAGCCTCAAGCCAAGCCAAAACCAAGCCAAAATGGCTAAAATAAGGCAAACACGAATAATCATACAAATGGAAAATAACAACATGGAGCAAGCAAGAAACAAGCCATCAATTGAAAAAGTCAAACGGAACATTTGGATTTGCCAGTTGGGCCTGCCATACATGTAACACACACACACACTCACAACCATTTCTGTTTCATAAAAATTGCATTTGAATGAAAATTAATGCAGTCAGTAACACACAAGTGCGTGTGCTTGTGATGCGTTTGTCACGCCGTGCAATGAGTCAAATGTGAAATGCGAAATGCCATTCACAAAATAATAATAATAATATTGTAGCATCGCGCGCCGATTGTGACGATATTTTCTTGTGCATTTAAAATATGTTCTTTTCGTCGTTTTCTGTTCCTTTGGCTTCTAAATATACAGATTCCGAACGGCACAGCGGAAATTGAACAGTTTACTTGTGTGTACGTTGCTTTTTTTCTGCTCTCTTTCTCTGGTTTCTTTCGTTTTGCCCATTTCTCTTCTCGGTAATTTTAGCAACACAAGAAGCATATGCCGCACACGCAATCACACCAAACACAACTGAATCGGAATGAAAAAAGAGCGGCACAAAGAGAGAGAGAGAGAGAGAGAGAGAGAGAGAGAGAGAGAGAGAGAGAGTAGAAGAGACGAAACGTAAACTTTAAGAATATATGCAACTACGCTAAAACGCTTCAATTACAGCGCAATTTATTTCGTGTATAATGCAAGTGCAAGTGCATGGTTGACGATGATGATGTCGATGATGATGATGGCGGCGTCATGCATGTGACAAATGGGAACTATGCGCCATTCAACCCATCCGATTTCAATTCATTTTATTTATAAGTTCTAAACAGTGAAATTGCTCGTCCCAATCGATCCGGTAAACAATCAAAGTGAGCGCGCGAATACACACATATATACTGTGTACACGATATAGACTTGTATAATTGTTCTCGTCTATTTGTCGCCCTCGCCTCACTAACAACAATAATACCGAGAGGCTCAGCCGTACACACACACACACACACATACATATATACTCGTTCCACCCAATCGGATCAATCCGACTCGTTGATATCGTTAATCGCATTTTTAATTAAGTCCATCATCCAATTGAATATCCATAATTGTGTTATTGATGAAAATCGGAGCGGTTAAGTCTTTGTGTCCCGTCACAGATACACACTGACACTTATGTCCAACTACATATAGCGCATACATATTCGACGTTGGCGACGGTGATGGTGACGGTGGCGTTGGTCGTCGTCGTCTCTTCCATCGTTGTCATTTTCTCGCTCTCATTTCCACACTAAGCGCAAAATCAATCACGAAATTGCTGAAAATCATCCAATCGAAGGTGTGTGTAAATGAATGGATTGGATCCAGGAGATAGAGAGTGGCAGGGCGGCAAATATTGTGTGATGATAATGGATTTTATGTTTTAACGAGTTGAGTATGGCTGAGCTTTTCGCTTTGTGAATATATATGGGTGTGTGCGTATAAATGTGTATGTGTGTAGGGATATATTGGAGTGCAGCACCGAAACGGCCTAAGCACCTTTTTACCTACATTTTCCAAATTCACAATCCCAATCATTCAAGATTAACATGGGCCCTTATAACAGTAATGGCCAGAATCAGCCAAAGAGAACTCTCAAAGTGTCCATCAATACTTGATGGCTCTTTCTCGCTCTTTCGTTCTCACTTTTGCACGCATTGAGCATCCAATCACCACAATCGACCAGAGCGATAACACCAAAAATTAATGATTTTCCATTTTTCGGGTGACGAAATGTTTGGTTATTGTATGTGATTAAGGTGTCATTTGAATAAAAAGCTTCATCTAGGTGTACACAGTACACGGTACGCAAAAATAGAGAGCGTACACACTTTGGTGTATCTACTATGCTTATACTGCTCAGTTTACGGTAGGAAAAGTCCTGTAGTTGGGTAACGTTTTGGTGTGTGTTTGAGCTTGCTCTAGCCCTATTATTTCTCTAGTATTTGAATTGTGAATTTTGCGTTTTCCGCAAAATCCCCGAATGCAATACTGTTTGAACTCTCTCCCGTGTTCTCGCACTCTCTTCCTCGCATAGTTGCTCTCTCTCTCTCTCTCTCTCTCTCTCTCTCTCTCTCGATTCATGATATATAAATATAAATATATGTGTAAATATTTGCGTGCTATTGGTAGTTTGTTTACTTAAGCAAACATAGCGCGACCGCGCACACACATTCAATATATATAGATCGCATTTTCGTGTTCTCGACTCCTGACTCGAAAATGTGTTCCTTGCCACACTCATTCACTCTCGCACGCAAGCCACTTGCAGTGAACGGGCTGCTGCTGTTGCTGCTACTGCTGCTACTGCTGCACGACATATATACGTATAATATTTTAACAGCACTATGCATACGTGCACAGTGGCAGCATATATGTATAGCGCGAGAAATATACCCGGAGAGTGTTTTGTTGTTGTTGTTGTTGTTGTTGGTTACTTGTTTATAATCATGGCATCTCAAGTCAGGTGTGAACCTGAACGTGTATTTAAATGGGTATTTCATACGTAAATACAAAGCTTGAACTCTAGTTGACATACAAAATCTATTAATGTCTCACATTCGTTAAATCATAGTGTTTATTTCGCCATAAATATATATGTTGGGCTCTTATTTTTAATTACGTTCGCTTTTTTTGCGTGCTGTGTGTATGTTTCTGGTGCGCTATTTTTGTTGTTATTCGTGGTGATGATGATGATGGTAGTAGCGGCGGCGGTGGTGGTGTTGTTGTTTTATTATTATTATTATTCAACTGGACTCCTTGTGCTTTTGTTTTTATGGTATTGCTATTTGACGCTGTTCGTCCATATTGATGGTGTGTGTGTGTGTGTGTGTCGGTTTCGTTTTCCGATTTGAGCAGCCAGCACATACAATTTGCACACGGTTTTATGATGAATTGTTTGAACGGCTGGAATGCTGGTGGCTCTTCTCTCTCTTCTTTTCTCTATTGCTCATGTTCGCCAACATCGTTATGCATTCATAAGAGCCATTTTAGGATGGTTTATGTATTAAAAATAGAAACAGTTTGATTGAGGTCCATTTCGATGCTGATGCCGATCTCTCTCTCTCTCTCACACTCACACACTCGTTCGTTTGCTCACACTCTATTCAACTCCACTCCAGCACGAACAAGTGAGCCAACAATCACACATCTCGAATCCATCGCCTATATCTATCTATCCGTCCATCGATATAGCTGAGTATATCGGTCGGGGGGCTCTGATGTAAGATTGTGTCGGCTTTTATTGTACCAAAGAGACAAACGCAAACATT